TCTGTCTATCACATTGACCTAAACTTTTCCCAGAACTGTAATGATAAAAGAAGTCCTTAGCATTTCCCCTGCACATCAATACAAGAATCCCAGATAAGACCTTGTGGGTACTGAATACAGAGCTGATGAGTAATAAATGTTTGATGTTTTAATAGCTAAAGCCATTTCCTGAAATATGGGACTTGAGTTAGCCATACAACTTTAGTATTGAGTTAGATACTGCAAAAAATGGGAGAAAAAGTCTGAAATCTTATTACCCTCATATTAAATACAAGAATATGCTATTAAGCAACAGAATCAGAGGGCTTAATGAAATACATCCACTGTCTTATTTTATTGGAAATAAATTGGGATTGATATAATTTCCACTATTTGGATACAATTTGTTTGGTATATCTACAAATAAACAATTTTTACTATGGTATTACATAGTCTTCTTAAAAATAAAGTACCCATTCCACTTTCAAGAAAATGTATCTACCACAAATACTCTTGCTTTTAATTCTTTTTGTAACTCCCCTTCTCTTTTAGTCTATTTTCCCCAACTCTCCTCTCCTTTTACTTTCCTTCCTATTTTCTCCCTCCTTGTATCCTTTCTCTCTTTTATTTTGAATTTTATTTATTTTTATTGGAAAGGTGATATACAGAGGGACTGCAGTTGCATAGATCAGATAATGAGTCATTGCTTTTTAAAAAGTGTCACACCTCTTCCCTTGTTTTCTCCCAGGTTTTCCCTTCCCTGCCCCTCCCCCCCACCACCACAAGTTGTATAGTTCATTTTCAACATAGTATCATAGTGAGTATCACTGCTGAATTTGTTCACCCTTTGTCCCACCACTTCTGTGGGTCACCTTTCTCTTCCCCAAACAGATAAACTTGCATACAAGACAAAAAGTCCAGAAAACCAAAACAGCAACAAAAGGGTACAAATAAAACAAAACAAAAACACAAAAACTAAAATGAAAAACCTCTCATTTCCATTTCTTGGAGATCGTTTTGAAAACAAAGTTTTTTATGATCGTATGCTTAGCTATTGAGACTTTGTGATCCTTTCCTTCTCTCTTTTCTCCTACATCCCCAATTACATTGGTTACTTTTGCTTATATTCTATTTTAATTTGAATGATATGGCACTCAGGAACACAAGCTCAGTGCAAAGAACACAGGAATTTGAGTCTTGAAATCAATATTTACCAACAAGATGACAGTAAATTACCAGAATTCTGTGCCCCAGTTTGTCTATTTGTAAAATGAAACAAATTGTAATATTTAGCTTTGCTCTCCTTAGATGGCTGACTGGCCTGGCTACATATAACCTTCAAGGTTAAACATTTATCACCAGAATTTAGGCTACCTTTTCCCACATAAACATCTAGTATTGCTGATGGCAAATATCATGGCTCTCTTATTCTCTTTCTTGCTTACAAATTGTCCAATCAGCATTCTCTGTGCTCAAAAATTTAGCACCCTCTGTTTATTGTTGAGATCCTAAGGTATATTTATTTATTTTGACCAGACAAGGGTTATTTATGATACTATAAATGTAGATCTTAGCAAGCAGATAAGCTCATATAGATAGTAATCATTTTTGCTGTACTTAAACCTAGCATATCACATTGTATTTAGCACTCAGGCATTAAAAGAATATCTGCTAAATAAATAGTCTTCCAAATTCAAAAGATATTCAACCATCTACACTGATGTAGGTCTTTAGTGGACTTAAAATCGTTTAAGTATAATGTTATCATTGTTCTGTCCCAGAGGTCTGTTATCATGTCATTTCAGGATAAAATATTAAGCATTAGGTTCTTTGCACAAATTTTCTTTCTTGGTCTTGAAAACAGTCTATAAATATGGATGACAAGTAAGGACTTGTGCCTCACAGACTGGTCTGAAATCACTCTAGTAGGAAATGTTAGAACTGAATCTAGCACTTATATTGATGGGGAAGTCCAGGGTTCTCACTTGATACCTGCCTAAACGTGCCTACATCTTCTCCCAGGGCCTGTCTTTCTCCTTGACCCATGATAGACATCTCTCATATATGATCATCATCCTCTCAGGATCTCAACTGCCATTTTTCAGTTTCCTCTTCTCCCTTCCTTCCTACATTCCTTCCTTCGGACTTCTGCCTCATTCTTCCATTCCTGAATAATTTCTATCATATTTATGTAACCAAAAAGTATTACATTCATCTATTTAATGGTTGAATGACATGTAAAACATTTTCTTTTATTGCTCTGACAAATGAGTGTTTCATAGCATAGAATGGAATAAAATTGAAGAAGAATTTTGCTTGTTTGGATCATCTAGATAGAGAATTCATCAGATATGACATATCACCTTCAAATTCAATTTAGGTTTCCATCCTTTGAATGTGTAATTATCATAGAATTATTTTGTTCTCCCATTCTCATGTTTATGAACAATATTTGATTAGAAAGCAGAGTTAAAAAAATCTATACATATAAGGGAAAAATCATTCATTGATTACCATATTCACAAACCATATTACTGAAACTTGAAGTTAATATATTTTGAAAGTAAATATATTTGAATATTTTTACTTGGTAAACTGCATTTTAGAATTTTTGATTCATGAATTTTTAAATAAAGCATTTTTCAGCATTCTTAAAATGCATCTTCTTAGTCAAATCTTAATTAAAGTTACTATTTGGGAGAGATAAATGACAAATCCTTTTGAAAAATCAGATTACAGCCAGATTGTTGTGAACATTTAAAAAAGTCAAATCAAGCTGAAGAAATGTAAAAGAACTTGTCAAGATGCCATAGTGTCTCTTGACACAGAATCCATGACTAGAGCTTTTAGTGACAACAGAAGATTTGGTTTCAAAGTTGAGCAATATAAAAATCAATACAGTGTCTCCTCTTTATCCTCTTGATAGAAACTAATGAGGAAGCAAGCTTTGCTTCTGTTTAGATATTAGGTTCCAATTTAGGAAGTCTCTAAATACACGACTTTGGAGATTTATTTTAGAAACCAGAAAGTGTACATATTGACATCAATTATATCCAACTAAACACAAATGAATGAGAAGTTCAGCACGTTTAACTACTTTAAAAACTGAAGACATAAACTCTCATAACTGAAGCCTTAAAGAGCTAATTATAACCTTCACATACAGATTTATTTTCTAACATGCATTTCTTCATTGACTAGAGTAATATAGGTTGTCCATACTATGATGATGAAATATTTTCCATATTAACTGTATAACCAATTCAGTGTTAACTGTATATTGTGTTTTCCACATATACATATGGTAAAAACAGAGTAAGGAATTCACATTTAGGCTTTCTGTCTTTGAAGCTACTAAGAAAAACCAATAAAGCAATCATTGAGTCATTTTATTTTTCAGTTGGAATCATATCCTGGCTTATTGAATGTGAAAAATTGAAGGAAGTACAATGTATTACTTTCCTTCATTTCTTAGATAAAACAAATGTGGCCATGAGGTTGAGTCATTGACATGAGTTCAGACTGCTGAACTTGGGCCCTGCCAAATAAGCCACACACAGAGTTCATTAACTCTGAAGAGTGTGATGACAATTCTGGAGCCAGTTACAGATATATAATGTAAGTATCAAAAGAAAACATTTTTACTTAAAATACAGCATCTCATTCTTTAGGCCATGTGCATTTTACTAAGCAATTGTACTATTTGAAAGAGAACCTTGTGCTTGTAAAACTATACAGGTTGTTACTCCAGAGAAATCTCTGCTTTTACATCATAATACAATGAAGGTCAGTGTTCTACTTGTCTTCTTTACAATTTTATAATATACTCAAAGAGATTTTACACTATGATGAAACATGTAGAAGGCATAATTCACTGGTAGTGTGTGCTCATGCAGAACATTTAAGAACCTAAGGAAAAGGATAAATAAAGCACAACGAAACCCACAAAGCTAGTATTACTTGGCCTTTAAGACAATCTCTACCTTCTGAGAGAAAATAACAGTCCTACTAGCTATACACAACAACAAACCATTCACTCTAGCTACACACTGAAATGATCATAATAATTTATTTTGAGCAATGACATACATGTAATTACAAAGCCATGTTTCCATCATTGTTGTATTTGCATCCTGGAATTCCAAACAAGACTATATTCTAAAATAATGTGATTTAAACCATAGTAATTTAAAACAACTTCCATGATAGTGTGTCCCAGGTTTTTATAGTACTTATGTTTTCACAAGATCCAGGTGTGGCGCTGAGCATTTCCTTTCCCTATCAGAAAGACTTCAAAGTTTCATTGAAACAGCCCCGTCTTGTTACTGTTAGACTACAGGTTTGTGATTGGTGATCTCTCTCCCCTACCCTCTCTCTCTTTCTCTCTCTTACACACATATACACACAGTTAATTACTTGTAGACAGCGAATTAAAATAATTAAAGCAAAGCGGATTCCAGTAGAATGAAGCATTTTTATAGTAAACATTGTTATGATACATTTTCACCTTTGGTAGGCATGTTAGCTAAATTTCACATCATATTTATAAAATGTTGGTTTATACCAGAAAGTTGCCATTCCTCCATAAAGACTGTGAAATATTGGTAGACAGGAAAACAATAAATATATTATGTGGGGGGAAAGGTGCTGAAATAACTTTTGTCTTTAACATGCAGAATCATCCAGAAAGTTCATCAATGGCATTCATTCCCTCATTTTAGTCAGTCATTTCTGCTCCATTTCAATCCTCCCGGTAACTGAACCCATTATTAGTTTATGCTACTTACAGTCAAAAACAAGGGAACTAACGTTAATGCTTGAGAAATAGGCTCATTTCATATTGTCTGAGAGTAAGGTTTAGTCAGAGAATTAAATAAAGACAAATATGACCCAGGACCCTCCGGAAGGGCAAATTACTTAACTTTTGAATGCTTTTTAAAAGAACGGAAATAAGTAAGAAGAGGCAAATACCCCCAACTCTGAAATAAAATAAATAGTTGTAAATTCTTAAATCCACTCACCAGTTTCCCAAATGCAGGGTCAGTAATAAGAACATCAACCTCAGCCCTCTACTTTGACTCCACAGAAGAAAAGGGGAAAAGAGAAAGGCTTTCCAAGAACCCATCAGGATCGGGTTTTGTTTTGTTTTTTTGTTTTGTTTTGTTTTCTTTTTGGTTTTTGTTTTTCTCTTTTCTGTTGGTGCTGCTCTGTCTCAGTTTCCCCGGGCAGGAGTTTTCCTCACACCTCACGGCAGCAGAGTGAGTAAGAGAAGGGGAGACAGAGGAAGGGAAATACACCTCCCAGCCAGGTAGGATGCGACTCCCAGCAGAACTGAGCAGGAGCACCAATCAGACCGGGAGGATGCTAGCATAAATTAGTTCATAAAGAGTTGGGCCAATCAGTGCGCCACGGAGGCGGGGCTTCCCCTACTAGAAACCGAGCCCAGTAGGGAAAAGGGCTTCGAGTTTTGGGGGGTTATTTTTTTCTTTTTCGTTTTCTCCTAACAGAAAAATAAACCTCTTTTCCCTCCCAGACACGGAGAAACGTGTGAGTGGGTTTGACAGCCTCGCGCTGCGGGGAAGAGCCTGCCTGTCTCTCTTCCCCCTGGCTTTCCCTCCCGTTCTTTGGGGGGCGGGGGGACCCTGGCCTCTTGGCTCTCAGACTAGGATTCGGAACTCTCTTCCAGGAGAGACCGCCAGGAAGCAGGCAGTACCTAATTGGTTGCCCCAGGATCGTGACGATTCTGTTAATTTGGGTTAATTACCGTTCGCTAATTTTGAAGGTGGGGGTGTGTCTCGTTTAATCTCTGCAAATCCAATACCTGACACAGGCCCCGCACCTAGAAACTCAGAGTTGTTGAATACACGATGAATGAATGAATGAATGAATGGACAGGGTTAGTAAGCCTGTTTCCTTCACCCCCTACCCATCCTGAGCCCTTTCTAGGGAGATGATTTCCCGCATCAGACTCCAACAGAGAACCTTAGATGAAGAATGACAGGCAAGAACGATCTCATTTTACAAACAGAAAAACAACTATCCGCTTGCCAAACAAAATAAAATAAAATAAAGAAATACAATTATGTATGTATGTGTGTATATATATATATATATATGTATGTATATATATATATATATATATATATATATATATATATATATATTAGAAAAAGGTCTTCTTCACCTGGGGCGCTGCAGACACATTACAGGGTTGAACCTCATTCTCCTCTCCCTCCCCAGTTGTCTTTGCTTCTCCCAGCTTTTGGTACCTAACTTCAGAGGCTCGGCTTTGAGTTCACAGCAGAGCCAGGGGGTTACCATGGTAACCAGAAAGCCTCTGGCAGCTGGAACCACTGTACTGTCATGGTGGTGGAGAAACAGGCTCTGTGTGCCCAACCATCTTCTGCCTTTACGCCTGGCTAAATCCTTGCTTCCCACGGACGTTGCCTGAGGTTGGGGTCTTTGGCTGCACCATTAATCACTCTGCTACCACCTGGCATTGGTGGATTCGGGCTGAGCTGAAATTTACCCTCTAGTTACTGGAGAATATTTATCCCTCTGCAAACAGTTCAAGCCAAGGAAAGTCTCAATGTTTGTGCATGGCGGTAAGAAACTGTTGCTGCACTCGCTGCCCGTGGAAATCACTTAAAAGAATTGAATGGGGATAACAGAACTGAGATTTTCCCCCTGCCCAGAATAACACACAAGTATTGAGTGCTGAGCTTTTTCTCACTTCTCCTTTATTCTCTATCCTTTTAGTGTCTTCTGAAAAAAAATATGTACTCACCCTTCTTATTTCTCTTCTCTCATTCTACATAATTAGCATTTTATTTCTTCCATATTGCATGCTAATTAAAGTAGCCCTTTTCAAATAATTTATGCATCAATAAAGGTTCATTATATCCGATGTGGACTTGAGCAAATATAGGGAACAGGTGATGTCATTGCAAATCTGGGCTGTTGGTTTTATTCCTTTCTTTCTCTTTTTTTCTTCCTTCTTTCTTTCCTTCCTTCCTTCCTACCTTTCTTTTTTTTACTTTTAATTAAGAATATGCTTTGGATAGTTATTTAACTGTTTTTAATTGGACACACACTAATTCACTGATCTGATTAGCCAGTGAAGGAAGAATTAAATCACCAGTAAGTGTGTTATGAATAACAAATACTTGTCTAGTTACCCCTGGCATTTTGCTGAGATTAAGGGAAGTTTTTGCACACATTAAAAGAGATATGATACTGTCTAATGTTGCACAACAGTCACGGATCGTCTCCCCTCCCCCCCATGAATTACTCCTAACAAGCTTTTACTCTCACTCTTCTCCTAGGTAACTGGAAGGTGCTGAGAGCAATGCAAAGCAATGAATGGAGAGGAAGGTGAAGGACATTGCCTTGGGAAGTAGCAAGGTGGCTGCTTGTTCTTACAAAACATAAAGAACTAGAATAAAAACTAGATACTTTCTACATTTTCAAAATTCCATGATTTTTTCATTTTCCAATTTTTTACACTGAAATATTTTCTTTTTATCCTTTTCTTTCAGGTACTTTTATACTTAATTTTATTTCCCTATAAATTATGTACAAAGGAGCTTTGTTCCCTCTGGAACTTGAAAATAGGGAATGACAGTTTTGTATATTTGCCATGTTTAGATTCTGACTGCCTCTCCTTTTAGATTGGATAAACCAGCTGACAGGGAGAGGGAGTTGAATAGGGAACTAATATGTTATAGCTTTTGAATAAAGTAAATTAAGATCCATGGACTTCATTCAACAAACCGTACAGTGTCACAGGGGCATACTTGCAGAGATCCAGATCAGTTGTCTTCATAGATTCTAGATTAAGAAGACCAGAAAATGCTATATGTAAGCAACTGCCAATCTAACTTTGATTGTGGTTTTCAACTGGGGACAATTTCCCAATTCACTTTGTAAATGTCTTGAGACAGTTCTCTTCATCACAAGATGGAGAGTAGGGTGACTAAATTATACCTAGTGAAGAGAGTCTATCGTTGTTGTTATATTAGCTAGTTGGTGCTGGCATTTCTTCCTACAACAAAGAATTTCAGAGCTTCAATGATCAATAGTCCAAAACCCAAAAGGCCTGTGTTATGAGTGAAGTGAATAGGCAAGCAGATTCCATCTCAGGTGATTATTTTCTAATAACATCATTGCAATCACCCTTCCTGTCTATCTTCTTTGGACTGGCTGGACCAACGTAATTATCTCCTAGTTTTATATCTAATTGCAAAGACTACTAATTCATAGTGCACAAATTTTATTTTTCCCCAAATTTGGCTTAAGAATAACCTTAGAATTAAATAGTAGGATACTTATTAAAAATATAAACTCGTGAGCTTCACCATTAACCTACTGAATTAGAATATTTATGAAAGCTTCTGGGGATTTTCATGAAATATTTTCACATTAACCCAATGACCTGACCAAGGTCAACACAATGACCTGACATGGTCACCCATTCATGTATGCCTAGCCCTAGAAAGCAGAGTTTCATTGTGATTCATTCACTGTCAATTCACCCCAAAATATTAAGAAACTGCTGTCCAGCATTGTGCCTAGAATTGGGAATACAATAGAAATGCAATAAATAAGACTTACTGCTGCTTTGTGGCTGTGTTTTTCATCTGTACACAAAGAAAGAATTCTAGTTAGCTTGTAGAATTTTTATCAAAGGTTAACTCAATTAATACATGAGGAGAATCACTTGAAAAACTACTCGGGTAGCAAATTGCTCCCAAAATATTCATTTTTATTGCTATCCTAATGGTGGTACCTTCAAATCTAAGTAATTTACTGCATGCTCTATAACAACACAGAACAATTCCAGAATATACTGTATAAAAAGGCAGAGAAAATGAGGGAGAACATTGATGTTCTCAGAAGACCCAAAAGGTAGTCCTGATACCTAATTTCTCTGGGAAAATGGGACATTTTTATTCGTGTCCTATCTCTCCTAATGTACTTTATTTTTGACCTCCTGTATCCTAAGCTAGTCACTATGAATAACGCTCTTTTCTGCCAAATCATATGCTAGTCATTAACCTAGGAGACTCTTCCTTTTTCGTCATCATCTGATTAATCCCTTCGCACCATTTTTGATTAAGTTAGTGATATTTTTTCTCTAAGTAGGATTTATCGATGCCTACTTACTAGTTTTGTTCTTGATAACCATTATTTTCTATTTCTTCAACTTATATTCACTAACAAAGATATCTGGTCTAGATTTTGCCACCCTCACACTAATGCTGCCTTTGTGTTGAATCAGAAGTTTCCTATGCTCATCTTGTATAATCTCACCTGCTCATTTATTCCTTCTTTTCAAAAATACAATTCTAAATGGTCTAATGTTTTTTCCTATGTGACATTAGCTAAATATTTTAAGGTTCTTTACATTCTTACTCTATCTTCCTACTAAACATGTTGAAGTTTTCATGTATGTATCGACACAACTTATTTTCTTTTTATATCACACTGGTACCTTTGGCAGCCTCTATCCACGTATGTTTTTAATGTAGAAGTTTAAGAATAGCGTCTCAAATCATATTGGAAAGCAAGGAATGCCTACTGACAAATATTACTGAATTTTACCCACCAGATACTCAAACCAAAGGCCTCACAAAATTTCCCTTGACAGATACATCCTCTAAGCTAGTATGAAGTTCTTTTTATAACCCCAAATCTTATCTTCAGATTCTCTGGTAAAAATAGACTAAACAAACCCTAAGCAATATGGTAGGCCATCAAACCCAAGATCCTTTTGTTACTATAGAAAGATAGAAAGTTTCCATCATTTTCACTGTCTTACTTAGTTTCAGTGAAAATTAAATTAGTTTAATTTATATGAAATACATTTCATAGTATACAGCACACACAATGTGTTCCATTAATTTTAACAAACATTACTATTGTAATGACCATCAACCAACTTCTTTATAACTCAACTACCAGTTAACTTCAGTGTCCACCATCTCTTGCTAGCTTTGCTGCAATCACTTTCCATTTCCAGTTTTGCTGCCTATCTCTTATTTATTCATCCATGTTAATAGACTTTTACAGAATAGACTTTTACAAATGGAAATCTGAAAATCGGTTCTACTTAAACCACTTAATCA